ATACATTTTATCTATATAAGATAACAATGTCGGATGGAATTTGAACTCGCCACTCCGACCCAACTTTCTGTGACGATAGTTACTCTGATTAATGCTCAAAATATTTAGATTTCGGCATTAAATAACTCAAAGAGGTTGATATGCCGCTAAGCGAAATCAACAGCAAAAAGGCCTTATAAAAAAAAAGGGGGCTGTAATATAATTGCATATGTGCGGATAGAAAAAGGCACGAAAAGAGAAAATCTGCGAACCAAGTTCAATTTCCGGCATTAATTCTTGGGAAAGACTAAAATCCATTTTCATCTTCTACCCAAAACCTAAAAAAAAAATAGCTGTGGGTTAAGTGGAAAGATAGACTAGGCCTTCAGTGAGAATCATTTTAGAATAATCTATCTGAATTTTTAAAAAATGTATATGAAGAAAGCAACATGAAACCACTTCCCTATCTTGCCCAGAACTTATAGCAATTCAAAGAAAAGGAATCTGTGAAGAGACATGATCCTGAATGGGTTTGGCATTAAACAAACTAGAAGAAAGTTTGACCCAGTTTATATTTCTAAAGGTTGTTCCAGGCGGATGGGTTTATATTTCTACTGCAATGAATGGCACACGGCATTATTAAGCCCCTAAACCAGAGGTCGTCAAACATTTTCAACCAGAGACATCCTTTTGTTTCTATTCCTATCCCAGCGACCCCCAATTAAAATATCTTTAAACCTTAAAATCGCACTGATGTTGACAATCAAAATGTTAACTAAATTGTATTAAAAGTTAAGAAATTTGGATCAGGTTCAAAATTTCATCTGCCCCGCCCACCTTCATCAGGTTCAGAATCTTTTCCCAAATATATATATATTTTTTTTTTATTCGAACGTAAGACCTTTGTCTAATTTTATTTTATTTTTATTTATACGAACATTTCCCTTTTTTGTATATATTATTTGTATTAAGAAACAGGCTAACGATAAAATGTGATAATAGCGTTGAGTTCAAGTATCCCCGCCAAAGAAAAGGAAAAAGTACAAAAAATAAAAACAGCAAATAATTAAACCTTAAAATACTTAAGGAAATAGGGTAAGATTTAGGAACATTAAGATTAACTCCTCAGTTATCCATCGAAACTGCAAGCCACCGAAATAAGAATAGAAGCCAGTCCCCACCGCGGGCCATTTAAAACTTAGTCCGCGCAGCAGATTGGTTGTTACTAACATCCAATCGGATGCGCGGAATAGGTGGTCTTTCTTCCTCTTATTCTTTAAAAAGGCCAGAGTAGCTGGTAGCGTTTAATCAAAAGGGGGAATCAGGGGTTGATCTCCCCTGATTGGGTCGATTTGGTGATGGGGAGTATGATGTTGAAAGACCCGAAACTCCCTGATGAACCAAGTCAAAAACATCACTGACGACCCCCTTGGGCGCCTACTTAAAAGCGTATTTACGAATTAAGAAAATATATTAAATAACCCCAATGAATCAAGCAAGTAATATATTAAAAACTGTGCATAACTGTAGTAATTAAATTAAATAAACTAATATTGCATCATACTTGATGCAGTCAATCAGGCCAAATGACCTTCATTATCATAAACTCTATTTTACAGTTAGAAGTTGAAGAAAAGCGAACAATTTTGGAACAATTAAAAAAGAGCAAGCAATGTTCAATGTAGCATTAAACAAGTCTCATCAAAATAAGTTTAAAGCTACTTGGACAGATGTAACTAAGGCTTTTGATTCTGTTGAATGTCAAGTTCAGTGTCTTTCTTTCATCTGCACTGAAGAATACAACATACAAATATACTAACAAAAATTTAGTTCAGTGTCATTCCCACACTGAACCCTATTCGACCCCTTGACTATCCTCGACACCCTGGAACTCCTCACCGACCCCTAGGGTGTCTCTTAGACTCCGTTTGATGCCCCATGTCCAAAATATAGCAACATTTACTTATAAAATTTGCGATAACCATATGTTGTTTTTAAAAGACATCAAAGAGGCTTATATACTTTTTTTATTGTTCGTACAAACATGGTTGGTTCAAGTTCACGTCACAAGGTTTGCATCAGAATGCTATTGTCTCCCGGAGACAAACTTGAACCAACCGGTATAATTACAACACTGACATACTTCTGTGGCCTACTGTACGTAAGTGTACGGGAAACAGAATCTAATTACGTACACGGGCGCACCTAATTTACGTTCGAGTCAAATACGAAGCCGTGTACGCACATTAATTTTTATAGTGAAGTGGATTCAAATCTGACGGTCGACTCTACTTGAGACCTGCTACTTATTCAGAGGATCACATCATGACGATGTATGTACATAAGTATTTATGGATCTATGTATGTAAGTCCGGTCGACTCTCCATTGGAGAATAAGCATTGCTGATGTGGCCTCTGTAGCGAGTAGGTTTTTTACGGTTTGGAGTTGCTATCTCCAAACCCAGCCGGTTTTTAATTTAGAGTTCTTCATTTCCTAGCATCGTCTTTTTCTTAGACTGATTGCTAACCAAGTCCAGTTTGCCCTTCTATTAAACTCTAGATGGGAGGAGAGATGATTGTATACATTTTTTTTTAATTATTTAACCCCAAGCAAGTCAATAAAACCATTAAGATGCAAGAAGTTACTAAGTATTTGAGAATATGAGAAAAATATACTTTCAAGAGGGAAAACAGTAAAAGAACAAGAATTAAGACAGAAGATAACGATTGACATTGCATTTAAATTTTTGAAGATCGTATTTGACTAGGAAGCTGGAAGAGAGTTCCACAAGCAAGAAGTGCGATAGAAGAAACTATTAGCAGAGAACTTACGTTTAGACATTTCAACTGTAAAATTATGAGATTTTGCCGCTAATCTAGTACTGCGCTTAAATTCATAAAGTTTACTTACCTTAGAGTGAAGTCTATCAGAACAATTACTATGAAATTATTTATAGAAATGACACAGGAAAGTTACATTACGGCGGTGGGAAAATGACTAGAGCTGAGATGCCACGTCAAGACCAGTAACATCCCAGATTCTTCTTTGGATTTTATCATTGAAAATCAAAAAGAGAGGGATTGTCAGTGGTCAGAAATTGACACAAGCATTTTTTTTATTGAGTTGGTCTGTTATATATATATATATATATATATATATATATATAGCCTGACGTGCCACAAAAGGATCGTTCGGGTGGCAAGGTCGAATTTACTTTTTTATATATATATATATATATATATATATATATATATATATATATATATATATATATATATATATATATATATATATATATATATATATCCAAGTATATGATTGGTATATACGGAATGAATTCCAATAACCAACAATTACTATTCTTAAAAGAGTGCTCAATACAAAGTATATGCTTCTGTAACAATGTTTCCCCCCTAGTGTAGGATCGTTAATTAATCTGAAACTTTTAAGACCATTTATTTTATTTTCAACATCATCACTTGATAAGACACAGAGTGTGTTGAAACAAAATGGCTATTTTTGTAGTGATTTTATAACATACTTATGTTATATTTTTTTTTTTTATAAAAATAATTTATATATATATATATATATATATATATATATATATATATATATATATATATATATATATATATATATATATATATATATATATATATATATATAAGCAGTAAATTCGACCTTGCCACCCGAACGATCCTTTTGTGGCACGTCAGACTATATGACGGTTCCGTATAGGATACAGGTTCGAATCCTGTCGAAGGACGAATATTTTCTATGAAAATTTCTCGGACATTCAGGCCGGTAAATGTTATTTAATACTGTTTATTATAAACAGAGCATTTACTTAAAATACTTGTATCTACAAAAAGAATGTTAAACATAAAAATGTCTTTATATATTATTATTTATTTAAAAATTATAACATAAATATGTTATAAAATCACTACAAAAATAACCATTTTGTTTCAACACCTCCGGTGTCTTATCAAGTGATGATGTTGAATATATATATATATATATATATATATATATATATATATATATATATTGGTAACAATGTTAGTATCGGAGAGCAATAACGATGATTTTATGATAAATAAGCAGAAAGAAATCAGTGGTCAGGATTTCATGTAATCGCTACTGATTGAATTTCTCTCCCGATACAAAGCCCAAGAACCACTCAAGGTAGAGGGGTACTAATTGAAGTTTGTGCAGATAAGAGGAGAAATTAAGAAGAGCAATAGAAGAAACTGCTATCATAGAACTTACGGTTACATCAAGCCATTTCAACTATAAAAGAGATGAGACCTTGCCGCCAATCTAATACTTCGCGTAAATTCATAAAGTCTACGTACCATAGAGGAAAGTTCATAAGAACAACTGCAATGAAAGTATTTACAGAAAAGGCACAGAGAACCTACGTTACGGCGGTGGGGAAGTGGCTGAAGCCGAGATGTCAGGTCATGACGAATAATATTGCAGATTCTTCTTTGGACTTTATCAAGAATCTCTAAATATATAGAAGGAGCACCAGACCAGACGTGGAAGCAATATTCAAAGTAAGGACGAATAGTAGACCTATAAATATATAAGATAGATTCTGACGAGAAAATTGTCCAGTACGATACAGTGAACCAACTTTCCTAGCTGCAGACTTAGCAATTGATTCAAAATACACTTTCTATCTCATATCAGGAAAAGATTTCCGAGAATACTTAAGAAAATTAACGCAACAATGTCGGATGGAATTTGAACTCGCCCTCCAGCCCAACTTTCTGTGACGATAGTTACTATGATTAATTTGTTTTTTACCAAAACTTTTCCAAGCTTTTCAGATTTGTAAGAATTTCTTAGACATAATAATGAATTAATGATACATGTCCTACTAATTAACCCATAGCTGGGACGATATGTGGATTCGTACTTTACCTAAGGAAGTGAATATAACGAACCCGGCTTGAATTAGAACTTGGCTCTCCAAGTAATCATGCATTACTCCACTCATACATCCAAGCTTACAGCAGCTACTATTCCCAAGTGGTCACCCATCTAGGTACTGAGCAGGCTCAACATTGCTCAACTTCAGACGAGAACCGGTGTTTCTCCATGATATGACCTTCGATTGTCGTTGTGCACAACTCATATCATGAGTAATATATAAATATATATATGTGTGCATGCGTGTACATGCGGGTATATGTTTACAAAGGCACACACTTACACATACACGTACACACTCGAGATTTTACATACAATACATGCTTAAATCGAAAAATCATAGGAAACTCGTTGTCGATGTGGCTAACATCATCATCATCATCATCATCATCGAGAGGAGAGAACAGAGTTAATATGGAGTGTGTATGTGTAAATGTGTGCTTTTGCGTAAGTGTGTCTGCATGTGTATGTGTAAGTGTGTGCCTTTGTAAAAATATACACGCACGCAGGCACACGCATACAAACATATATAGATATAAATATATATATTAATCACTTCACCCCAAGCAAGGGGGATTACAGAGAGTGAAGGTCAGAAAAAAGACTGGGTATAAGGAGGGGGCGAGGAGAGGATTAAAGATGAACGGGATTCAAGAAGACAGAAGATAGTGATTGACGTTTTAAATTTTTAAGATTGTAGTTATCAGGGAAGCAAGTAAATGGAAGGGGGTTCCACACGCGGTAAGTGCGAGAAAAAAACTGTTGGAGTAGAAGTGGCGGTTACATTTAACTAATTCAACAATAAAAGGGTGGGACCTAGATGCCAATCTAGTAGCACGCTTAAACTCACGTAGTCCGGGCACTAGGGAAAAAAGCTCGTATGAAGAGTAACCATGAAGATATTTATATGTGAACTTAAATGTTCTTTCCCATTAACGGACATGCGTAGTTAAAGAAGTTAGCGTTCTCGTGTACTCATGATATATTAAACATAGCTATTACACACAAATAATGACTCGTATTAGTCTACCGATATAGACTTATACAGAAAACTCGCATATATTGCGATTATCGTAATAACGCGAATATCGCAATAAAGCAAGTCACACGAACGTCTTTCGTTTTCCGAGGCGTATAGAAATTATATTTATATATTTTTCTTGCTTTTAATCAACAATATTGGACGATATACAAAATGGAGTGTACTCATAAAAGTTCAACATACTTGTTAAATTAAATTCAGGTTTCAAAACATTTACAACATGGCGCTGGTTGAGAGAGAGAGAGAGAGAGAGAGAGAGAGAGAGAGAGAGAGAGCACGTCAAATTTAAAAATTTTTTTTTTTTTAATCATTTCATCCCAAGTAAGGCGATAATACTACTAAGGCAGAAGGGGCTACTAGGAGTGAAAGAGAATGAGGAGACTTTAGAAGAAATCTGAAAACCAATCCTATAAAAGAAGGGATAAACCTCTACTCCTGTTCAAAAGACCAGGGAGGAGTGTGACCAAGGTGGGGCACAGAGATAGAAAGTGAAGAAATTCGGTTGTCAAAAACTGCACCAATCATCTACCTCGACAGCATAATTACTACGTAGCTCTAGTTTGCGACAATGGGCAGTGTCTTGAAAAGGCAAGTAAACGGGATATGCCTAAATAAGAAAATCACAGCAAACTCGCTGTCGATTTGGCCATCATTATAAGAAAACAGAGTTAATCTCGAGCAGTGAGAGAGAAACAGTAAAGTACTAAAAAATAAAGAAAGAAAAGAAAAAAAAAAGCAAATGGCAAAGCTTTAATATAAGTATCTAAAAAAAACTTTATAGATATATTAAAAAAAAAGCTTCAGGTATCTCAAAAAAAAAAATTTAAAAAAAACATAAAACGATGCCTAAGGTTTAAAACGAATTTTTTAAAAAATCTTTCTTGAAACTTTTATTTTAGTTTTAATTTCAAGCTAATAAATTAAATTTAATATTTCCAATAAGCTAAATACTTTGCTGTATTTCAAAAACTAATTTAAAACTAATTTAATTTGACTGGAAGGAGTTTTTTTTTGTTTTTGATAAAATAGCTGATAGCACACTTTTTAGTCATTTTCATCGCAATGTAATTCTCTTCCATAAAAAATCTTCTAAAAATAAAATATACTTTTCTGAAACTTTATTTGAGGAATATAAGCTGATTTAAAGTATAATTAATCTGATTTGAAACAAATATTATTTACTTTAAAGTTAAAATATCGCAGAAATACATTTTTTAACGCGGCAGTAACCGTGTTTTTAACCGACGGTAGCTGTGTTGATGTGTTTGACATCGTGATGACAAGATCTAATGTTGTTTTACGGGGATGTTATCTGTAAAACATAATTGAAGAAAATGACGTGAGCTCTGTTTTTTTTTCTTAAAAATATATATATTTTTACCAATATTTTCAAAAAAAAAAATTAATTCAAAAATAATTTTATTTATTTCTGAATAAGTCCTAAAAATTTAATGACAATTATTTGATTTTTGCAAGAACTTTCAGAACAATGTTTTTTACTGCTAAAAAGACGCTAAATTTTCCCATTAAAAAAAAAGCTTTAGGTATCTCAAAAAAAAAAAAATTTAAAAAAAAAAAGAAAACAAATGGCAAAGCTTTAATATAAAGCTTGGCCCATCTGCTGACGCAAGAAAAACAAGATTTTTAACAAAAATTTCGAACATGTTAGAAAGGATTAAAAAATTTAATAAAAAAATCAAAAAATGCTTTAGTCTTTCCTATAATATCATAAAAATTTTCACGATAAAACTTAGTTTTTATCAAGTTTGGGGCCTTATTCATCATCCTATGGTCTTCTTTAGAAAACCTTTCGAGCTACCGATTTTAGTAGTATCTATTCAGGCGTTCCTTGAAAATATTGCTGGTTCAGTTCCAGACAATCACATTAAAGTGAATATCGCAATAAAGTGAAAATCGCAATAAAACGAGTCATTTCTCTTTATTTTTTAAAGCGCATATAAAAGCTACACCTACACTATATCGTAGTTTATTAAATGTGCAATAGCATTAGTTTTTAAAAAATGTGAATACCTCCAAAAACACAAATAGCAATATCTGAGAAGCGCAAGAAAACGATTTGTGTCTATACTACTGACTGCAGTATGCATGTGTATCAATGGATAGGATGGAAGGCACGTGCAAAAAAAAATACATTCCTAAAAAAAATATTTAGGTCCTCGTCTTTGTATGTCTGAGGCCGTATATGTACTAGTTTTCACAGAAATCCAAACATACTACAAATTATAACATACATACATACATATATATATATATATATATATATATATATATATATATATATATATATATATATATATATTTTGTATACATATCTTAAATATATATTACCTTGACTGCAAGTATTTCCGTCTGCCTTGACGCCAGTCTCTCGGTTTATCCAGGCAGACAGATCGATAGATGTTAATAGGCTGAAATAGATACGAATGGGCGTGTGTGTGTGTGCGTGTGTGCCTGTAGACAGAGAGATATATGAATTGTCTTAGATGAATAGATAGGAACAGACTAAGATAGATAGACAGATAGATAGGAACAAGCTGAGATAGATAGATAGGAAAAAGCTGAGATAGATAGATAGATAGATAGATAGATAGATAGATAGATAGATAGATAGATAGATAGATAGATAGATAGATCAACATGCCTGCTACATATTCGCACGCCTTCTGAGAATGATTTATTTCGACAGGCGCATTCAAACGCGGATTTGTTAGTCGCAAATCACACATGCATTAGCGAAGGGATTATTACGGGATGGAAATATGTAGTAAAGAAATTGAAAAAGCATTGAGCATGAGTTGCCAATAGAAAAGCATACTGGAAAGGAAAGACAAAAAAAAAAAAGATGACGTTTCCATAGAAACAAAAAGAGAAGAGGCTACGTTTTACAGTTCGGTGTTGTAACGCTGCACCGAGAAGCCAAAATGTTTCTTAATAGTAAATAAAAATCGATTGAAACAAAATGTCGGAAATACTTAAAAAAATAAAATAAAAGAAAGAAAAGAAAAGAAAGAAAAGACAATGGAATTTTTGCTAAACATATAAAATATTTCGTATTATTTCCTGTTCGCAGTGAGACAAATATTATCGAGGTCTCTTGCTCGAAAGCACACATCACTAAATTGTCATCTTCATCTCTAAAAATCTCTTCTCTAAAAATGTTTATTAACAGTGGAGTAATTTTGAGTTTGCATCGATAATTAATAACACATCAGTCACATCATTAATTATATAAATAAATAAATATTTAATTTATTTGTTTAAACGTTCTTTTTTTAAAATAGATACTCATATTTGAGTAGATGGTCTGTTTTTATTTGTTTATTAAACAGTATATGTATTTATTTACATCTCCCAGCCTGAATATTCGAGAAATCTTGTTACAAAATATGCATTATCCTTTTTCTAACAAGATTTCTCAAATATTCATGCCGGTAGATGTAAATAAATAAATATAGTATTTATTAAATAAATAAATAAAAACAGAGCATCTACTGAAATTTCAATATCCATTTAAAAATAACGTTTAAACAAATTATATAAAAAAAAAAACTGTCGGATTTAATCCATTTCCTATATATATATATATATATATATATATATATATATATATATATATATTCAAAATTATATGTATGTATTAAGAGAATTAATAGATTTTAATCTGACATGTTTTTATGACTTAAAAATCTAAAAGTGACGTTTAAGTAATAAAAAATATGTATGTATATATTGCATATTTTGTAATATTTTAATTCAATTTAAAATAAAAAAAAACTCACAAAATATTTCTTGTTCGTCATATTTAACACAACATGTATAAGAGAAGGATTGTTATACAAATATACAATATAAGGTAAGATTTAATCAGTTGGAAACCGGTGATTCCGGCTAATTTAATTATTCTCAATCAAGATTGGCAAAAATAATTTAATGAAAAAAACTATTATTGAAATTTATTTTACGTACTCTAATCTTAGACATAAAATAATTTATAAAATAAACTATGCTAGATGAACACAATAATTCTGAGGTTTCTTTAGCTACATTTGAAAATTGCTGTGATTTCATGCAGGACCTAATATGAAAACCGATTAATCGGTAAATATTGACAAATCAAGATTATCGATTATTACACAATTAATCAGTACAACGCTAAAGTATATATATGTGTGTGTACGTGTGGTTTCTGTGCAAATGGACATATTTAGAACCCATGTCTGAGTAGACGCTTTGTACGGCCAGTACAAAGCGTCTACTAAAACATGGGTATCCACTAAAAATAACGTTTAAAGTAATAAAAATATATATGCTATATATATATACACGCACACAACATCATGATGTATTTGGGCAGCAACCTTTCTTTCAAACATGTTTCCCTGAATATGACAGACAAGAAAAATTTGATTAATTTTTATTTAGATTGTCTAATATTACATTTTTCCGTTTGGTGGGGATAAGGGATTGTAAAAACTGGCCGTCGTGTCTGTTGTCCCAAGCGCTTTCGGTCACTTCTTTTGCCATTTTCAAGAGGTGATTGTTAATTGCTGTTAATTTCTTTTCATGTTTATCTGTTTAGGATGTAGATTTTGTCATCCCTAAATAGTAGTAGCGTTTATTCCAAGACCAGCGAAATGAACGTAGTCGGAGTACAACATATAAATATGTATCCCCAAAATATTATATATTTTTATTTTTAGTTCATTAGGGGTCATAAATGTTGATAGCACCCGTAGAAAAGTCTAAGTGTTTTACTTTCTTTTTAAAAATGTCTTTCTTTGTGGTGAAATATATTTTATTTATCATTGTTTGCCTATTTTATTTTTTAATAAAATAGCTTATTTACAATGAGTGTTAGTATTTTTTTATTTTAGTAAAATAAAATACTAACTCTCATTGTAAGAAAGCGAGACTGTCAAATAATTTATATTAAAATCTAACATCCTTTCTGGCTTAGACAACAAATCTCTCCACATTTTTTTAAACACCGGTTGTCGTTATCTCATAAAAAAAAAAGAAACTAAAAAGCCTTTATAAATTTCCTTTATAATCTGGTTATACGACAGTCGGTAACTTTTGCATATATTGATAAAAATTTATTGACACTATGTGCCTTGAAACTTCCAGGTTGCTTTTTTTTTTTTTAATCAAAATATGGCGAAAAATTGCTTTACAATTACATTTTCTCATTCTATTTTCCCTTGAATTCATTATTTGCCTTCAACATCACTGCGCAAACCTTAATATGGAAATATAGGATTTTAGATGGAAAAGAAAAAAAAAGAAAAAGAAAACAGATTGGTAAACAATTTTTTTCGGTTGTGGAATTTGTAAACTTGACATGCAATACAGGCAACGAATCGAAACAGTTACAAATTGAAAAAAAATTATTACCTGCTATTCCATCCAAAGGTAAATAGTCCCAAAATGGTATTAGTAAGAACAGTACATTCAAAAGATGACACAAAAACGACATTATAAAAAAAAATAAATAATTCTCTCCTATTTTAAAATGATCACCGCAGTCTGTGTTGAAATATGCTAAGAAATAAACGCCGACTACACTAAAATTTGTCTGCGGTATGTAAAAAGGTGGATCGTGATTGTGTCTGTTTAATGACAATAGAAGGCCCTTCTTTGTTTTGTTTTTGTGTTTTTTTATGTGGAGGGTTGTTACGTGATTATCCAAATTTTAAAATTATATATCGACACACTCTTTAAGGGCATGCCTATTCCATATTTTGGAAAAAAGTAAACCATCTGTTTTCGCTTAACAAGCTCTGTCTTGGGGGTTGTGTAGCACATCGCAGTATACATAATGATAAATACTTCCCATTCTGATAATAATATCCACTTGCATTGTTAAATTCCCGGCTTAATAAAAAAAAATGAATGAATATATAGAGAGACGCAGTAAATGGACGTGTTGTTTGGGCAAGTGTATCAGTCTTGAAATATAAAAAATTAAAACTGTAAAAAAAAATAGCGCGGCTGTCGTCCAGACAGTCACAACAAGCTGAACATGACTGTTTGCACTGGTTGGTCAGAGCTGTCGTCCCATCACATTGCCTTTACTATTCTTATTATTCTCCGAGACACACATCCAAGCTTTTTCACTTCTTTCTTCTTTCTCTTCTTTCTTCTTTCTCTTCTTTCTTGTTTTGTCTTTAAACGCGTTGTTAGTCGTCACACGCATGGTAGTCAAGTCCTCCACTTTCGCATCTCGTTCTTCACTCTCTTTTACACTCAACCCCACATCATCCGAATTTACCACACTACAGTACACGCTTTCTACACAGACTTTCTCTCTCTCTCGCTCTCTCTCTCTGTTTCTGTATATGCATTTCTTTTTTTCACCGCTCCCTTTTTCCTTCTTTCTTCTGTTCTTACTCTCATTCTTTCTCTTTTTCTCTCTTTTTTCTCTCTCTGCCTTTTTCTCTTTCTCTGTTTTCTTTCTTCCTTTTTTCTGTCTATATCTCTTTTCTTTCTCTCTCTTTTCTTTCTTTCTTTCTCTTTCTTTACCTCACTCTTTCTGCCCCTCCCTCATATTTATTCATTATTTCTTTTTGCTTCACCTATCTCCTGTTCGTGTTACTACACATTAATTCGCTGTCTCTTTTCTTATCTTAAAACGCACACATTACTTCATCTTTTTTTAAAATTAGAATTAGACTGTTTATTATCAAATTATGAATTTATTTGTTCTCAAAGTTGA